GGTGGTCTGTGCTGGGGCTAGTTATTTTCCGACAGGGGAACATTTAAAAAGTATTTACTTAGTTCATTATAAAGACATAGCCCTCATAAAATGCCCTGATTGTGTTTATTTTAGAAACTCAATTTGTTACAATTGTATTGAATTTCATGATGAAATTACTATTTATTTTTTGGGGGGGTCAAGTTTAAGGATCACAAATGTTATTATCATAAAATGTTCTTTTGTAAGGGGGCCACAGGGAGGTCCTAGCTCAGTGTAACATGTGCACTGGCCCCTGTTGGACCCCCCAGAATTGCCCATGTAGTAAGCTAACTAGATACTGCTTATACGCAACAGTCCTGCACAATATATAGTCAAAAAAATCATATTAAACGACTTTCAATAAAGAAATGTTAGTTTAAAAGATAACCATACATTTTATAGTTTTTTTTGTTAAGTTCAATGTTCAATTTGTTAAAAAAAAGCAGTATGTAAGCAGTCTACTGAAAGCAGCACCTGCAGAACTACGTACCTTTTTCAATAAAAATGTTTGAACGCAAACCATATCTTTGTTGCGATATGTAACAGCATTATCACACTTTTATTGGCAGCCCTAATATGCAAAACAGTTCCTCTCTGGCGTGACTCAACACAACTCTGAAGGGCGAGCAATTAATAAAACTCATTCCCACATTCAGCCACAGAAACAGGTGGCATTGTGTCGGCTCGTTATGATTTCAGCTTCCTCTAAATCTGATTTTCTGTTCATCCTTAGAGCAGATCTACAGTGAAGTTGCATGCTGGGAGTTACTGCTGTGGTCACTTTGTTAACACAGGAGGGGTTTATGTGAGGCCACTGCGCCCCCCGAGTCTGCTACACACACACAATTACTGATGCTGATTGTGTGTTGCTTTGTGTGACCAGTGCGCACCTTTGTCCGTGTGTGTGTGTGTGTGTGTGTGTGTGTGTGTGTGTGTGTGTGTGTGTGTGTGTGTGTGTGTGTGTGTGTGTGTGTGTGTGTGTGTGTGTGTTCCCAGATCTCCGTTACAGCCTGTTCATTGTGAAGGAGAGTGTTGAGCAAGATCCTGACCCACCGGCGGGGTCTAATCAGACGCATTCCTCGGGATTAAACGGCCAATTAACAATAAGAGAGCCATTGTGGCCCCGTCTCCGTGTGCGTCACAGTTAAAAGGTTTTTGTGTGTGTGTGTACGTGTCACAGTGAGCGTGTGTGTGTGTGTGTTTGTGTGACTATTGGTGTGTGAGAGGGCAAGTGCTTGTGAGTGTTTGCAAGGTGCTTCTTATTCCATTTAAAAAACACTTGTTTAAAATGTGTTTCACCGTTATCTCGCACTGCTCAGTTTTAAAACAAACATGCAAGCTCTAGCTTCATAAAACAAAAGTCAGTTAAAATGTTTCACACTTTTAAAACCAACTCAGGCGATGATGGTGCATTATGGGTCTTGCATGCCAAATATGCAGGTCACAGGATACGTGTGTGTGTGTGTGTGTGTGTGTGTGTGTGTGTGTGTGTGTGTGTGTGTGTG